CATCGTTCTTGTTTATCCTTTCGAAGAACCAGCTTTTTTGTTTCATTGATTTTTTGTATTATCTTTTTGTCTTCTATGTCCTGGATTTGGGCTTTTATTTTGGTGATCTGGATTCTTCTGCTGAAAATAGGGTTTTTGTGGTCTTGCTTTTCCAGCTTCCTTAGGTGGCTTGTTAGGCTGTTAATTTGTGATCCTTCCATTTTCTTCATGTGGGTTTGTAGGGATATAAATTCTCCTCTTACTACAGTTTCATGGTGTCCCAGAGACTTTGGTAAGATGTTACTTCATTTTCATTTGTTTCCAGGTATCTTTTAATCCCTGTTTTGATTTCATCATTGACCCAGGAGTTGTTTAGCATAATGCTGTTTAGTGTCCATGTCTTTGTGGGTATTTGGGGGGAGGCTTGTTGGTGTTAATGTTTATTTTTATTCCACTGTGGTCCGAGAAGGTGCATGGTAAAATTTCAGTACATTTAAATTTGCTTATGCTTGATTTATGGCCAAGTATGTGGTTGATCTTAGAGTACGTTCCATGCGGTGATGAGTAGAATGTGTATTCTGTGGACTTTGGATGGAGAGTTCTGTAGGTATCAATTAAGTTCATTTGACCAAGAGTCACATTGAGGTTTCAGATCTCATTACTGATTTTTTTGTTCTGATGATCTGTCTAGGGTTGTGAGTGGGATATTAAAGTCCCCAGCTATGATGGTATTGGAGTTGATATGTTTTTTAGTTTATGTAGGAGCTGCTTTATGAAAGTTGGTGCTCCTATGTTTGGTGCATATATGTTTAGGATGAATATTTCTTGTTGATGGATTGAATCTTTTATTATTATGTAGTGGCCTTCTGTATCTTTTAAAATTTTTAATAGCTTAAAGGGTATTTTGTCTGAGATTAAGATCATGACTCCTCCTTTCTTTTGTGTTCCATTCGCTTGAAAATTTGTTTCCCATCCTCTTACTTTGAGTCTGTGAGTGTCCTTTCTAGTGAGATGAGTCTCTTGAAGGCAATAGATTGTTGCCTGGTGATATTTTATCCCTTTTGCCATTCTATGTCTTTTCAGTGGTGCATTTAGTCCATTCACATTCAAACTAATTATTGAAATGTGAGAGTTGACCCCTATCATAATGTTCTTACAGAGTTGTTGTTCTTCCTGTTTGTGTGTTGTCTTTCTTTTGGTTTTAGAGTTGGATCATGTGTGTTTTTAATCTTTTGCCTGTGCTCTTGTGAAGAGCATTGTTGTTCTTTTTTCCTTTTCTTCTGTGTTCAATACTTTCTTAAGTGTTTCTTGTAGAGGTGGTCTGGTGGCAGTGTAGGTTCTTAGGGATTGGATATCTGGGAAAGAATTCAATTCTCCCTCACTGATGAAGCTTAGCTTGGCTGGGTAGGTTATTCTCAGTTGAAATTGTTTATCTTTTAGAACTTTGAAGATAGGGCTCCAAACTCTCCTAGCCTGGAGGGTTTCTGTAGATAAATCTGCTGCTATTCTAATTGGTCTTCCTAGGTAGGTAATCTGACCTTTTTCTCTTGCAGCCTTTAGGATTTATTCTTTTATACCTACTTTGTTTAGGCAAATTATTATGTGTCTGAGAGTTGATCTTCTCATTTGTTGTCTTGCAGGGGTTCTCTGAATCTCTTGGGTTTGAATTTTTTCATCATTGATGAGATGAGGGAAGTTTTCTTCAATGATTTCATGAAATGTTTGTTCCAGTGTGGTCTCTATTTTTCTCTCTGCTTCAGGAAGGCCAATTACTCTTAGGTTTGGTCTCTTGAAGAGATCATTCATCTCTTGAAGGTTTTGTTCTGTCTTTTTGAGCTTCTTTTCTATGCTTTTGACAGTTTGGGTTATTTCTGTGTTTTGGTCTTCGAGCTCTGAGATTCTTTCTTCTGCTTGGCTAATTCTGCTTTCCATGCTTATTAGTTTGTTATTTATTTCCATCACAGTATTCTTTATTGCTGTTATTTCTGACATCAGCTCCTTCCTATTTTCCTCTTGTCTCTCCTCAATTTTTAAAAATTCTCTCTATTAATGTTTTGATGTCTGGGTTTGTTGCATGTGACCAGTCATTCTGGTGGCTCTTCATTGTTTGTGTTCCAGAGTCTGTTTTCTCAGTGTCTGATCTCCCAGAGGTCTGTGTGAGACCTATATTCTTCTTTTGGTTTTTCTTCATTTGTGCAGTTTTTTCTCTCCCTATGTTTTCCTTCCCTCCACGTCACTGTCTTCTTTAATTCTGTTATTCAGGAGTAGAGGGATTGCTTTTACTTTTGTTTGTTCAATATCCTATTCTACTTTATGTATGCCCTCTTACTTTGTTCCATTCTGGAGTTGCACTGTAGGTTGGGCGTGGTCCTTTTTGCAGTTTTAAGATTTACCTAAGGGGGGAACTGTGATTCAAAATCAATCTGCAGGTCCTGGTATCTGCTGACAGTTGTATGGATAATCTGAAACCCAACTCCCACTGCCTTGGAATCTGTCCATGTGGTGGGGCTGTAGGTTTACTCCCTGAAATAAAATGAGGTTAGCAGAGGGAAGAGAATGAAGCAGACAGTGGGGGGAAGTGGGGGGTGGAGAGAGAGAGGAGTAAGGGAGGGAAACAGATGAGTATACCAACAAATGGAGAGACAGACCTAAACTGAAACAGATAAAAACAATAGACCACGGCTACAGACTAACCAACTCCCATACAAAAAAAATTAAAACATACAATGATGCTAACATACAAGCTAACCAATCACCTTATTGGTGTGCTGTTCCTCTATACAAAAATATGGTTTACAGAGAGGAGAAAAGAGAAGAAAAGGAAGAGAAAAAAAAAAGGAACAAAACAGGAGGAATAGAATCAAGTCATTAAATTAACAGAACCAATCAAGCACACTCTGAGACTTTTCGTTTAAGTCTAATGTCCTTTCAGCTCTGATTTCTAGCTGTCTTCTCAAGCTGGCAAATTAGTTCACAGTTAGGGTCAGTTGCCCTGGCCTGCTATGAAGGACAGTTCAGATCACCCTCAGTTTTCCACTCAAATCTGGCCTGTCTGTTTTTCAAGCTTGTTTTTCCCGTTTCGGTGTTGTTATTTTGAATCGCCAGCAGGTGGTGGTATCTCAGCTGCTCGCCCCAGAGGGGTTGGAACTGGACAGGAGTTTGGCAGAGGTGGAAATGGGAGCTTGCCTCAGGGCACACGGGAGGAGACCCACGGCCGGTAGGACTTCACGTGGCAACAGAGGTGGCAGCAATCCCAGCAGATCTTAACTGCAGGGGCTTCAAGGACTGAAGTCGTGGATCGCCTCAGGCACTATGACCACCAAGGGAGGCTGCGGCGGTGCGGCTGCTGCTGTGTCTGCACTACAGTGGCTATCCAGACCGCTGTGATGCCCGAGCGGTGGCGACGGCCGAGCTCCGTGTGAAGAGGAGGCTGCCCACGTTGGGATCCGCAGCCCCTGGGGAGAGAGCCAGAGACCCTCTGCGTTCTCCTTTGCGGAGGATCTCATAAACCAGGCTGCCCTGTCGCCATCTTGCTGGAAGTCCAGTATATCTTTCTTTGTGGATCAATTATTTCTTGACTTTTTTTGGTTTTCAAATTCCAGTGTGAAGATGAAATTTATTTTCTGATTAAAAGCATTATTTATGGTAGTACATTTACAAGATATAAAGAACTTCAAAAAGAAGATAAAACAATCTATTATTCCAATACTTAGAGGACCATTAACATTTTGTCAGGTACTATAGCCTCTTTTCTTCTGTATATAATAGTTTTCTTTAAATGTATGTAGTGCTACCTGACACTAGATCTTGTTCTTTCTATCTAATGTATTTTTGTACCATCAGTCAATCCCACTTATGCCCTGCCCCACTAGCCTTCTCAGCCTCTGGAAACCACCATTCTATTCACTCCCTTCATGAGATCACTGTTTTTAGCTCCCACATATTGAGTGAGAACATGTGACATTTGTCTTTTTGTGCCTGGCTATTTCATTTAACATAATGTCCTCCATTTCCATCCATATAACAACCAAACAACATAGCAAATGACAGTATTTCATCCTTTTTTATGGTGGAATAATATTCCATTCTATTTACATACCACATCTACAAAAATTGTTTATCCACTGATGAAGGTGATGGATGTCCCAATTACCTAGATTTAATTATGACACATTGTATGCTTATATTAAAATATTGCATGTACCTCATAAATATTTACAGCTATGTATCCATAAAATTAAAATGCACACAGATTTTTTATAAACATACTTTTCACTAACTACATTATGAATGTTCCCAGATTTTATTACTTTTTTTTGCAAAAATATGATTTTTATTGGTTTCAAATTATTCCATCATATGGATAAAATCATAATGCCCTTAAATGATCCCCACAATTGGACATGCAAGTTTTCTGTAATTGTTCTTCACTACAAATGACACTATATTCAATAAATATAACATTGTTTTTAGTGGCTGTGTGATATTCCATTGTGTAGCTGTATCATTAAATTCTTACTTTTTAATGTCTTTGCGCTAAATATTTTGCTTAAACAGATCTGTCATTGTTAGAGCAAGCCTTTAGCCTTGGCCTTAATTTTGGATTATTTTTGACACATTTGGTGAGTAGTTGTTTTCAGTTCATGAGATCACTTGTACTTAACATTTTGCTGTGTCCTCTGGGGACATATAGAAGAAGCACAAAATCTTTCAAGAGTTAAAATTGAATTACAAATATGACTATTATATGCAAAATAGTGATTAATAATTTATGCTAGTATATTATTAAATGCTAAATTTTATGGTTATGATTAAGTGCTTCAACATGTAGTTTGGGGGTAGCACGATAGTGAGTTCCAGTATAGTCAGGAAGGGCTTCAAGGATAAAATGCAGTTTGATCTGAACTTGAGAGAGAGGATTGGGTTCAAAGTAAAGGGAGACAGGACATTCTGGGGGAAAAGAACAAGATACACATAGGCTCAAAGATTTGAATAATTTTTGTATATTCATAGTACCATGAGAAGACTACTTAAGTTTATAGACCTTTGAAAGCCACTGCTCAACCATCAGTTTTGAGTAAAAATTTCTGAAAAATCTGAGCAATTTTTATTTTAATGATCTTAGCTTTTAATATTTACTTTTTTATTGCCTCAAATACTGGGAAGCACCTTAATTAAAATTCTTGATTTGTGAAAGTTGCTTTTTCTTTTCTAGAGACTTTGCCTAATACCCATTTTTTTGGTACAACTGTGTGCTTTTGTAGTCATCGACCTACATTTTATATTTGGTGTTTAATTGATTTCCAGTGAAATGCTCAGTAGATAATCTGAATCAACATTGCTTTAGTCCTTGAGGTGGAACTGGGAACTTTGAAAATAACATTTTGAATTTTTTCTTTACTCTTAGGTTTGGTGGGATTGCTGAGGTTAGGCTTGAGAGAAAACAAATTTATAGTAAATTTTCTTTGAACCAACTAATGGTTACTAACTCAGTGCCCTCTGTACTCTGCTTTTTGTGATTCTCATGTGCTCAGTCATGCTATATAGTGGTTGGTTGTGAGAGAAAGATCAAAAGAAGAGAAGTAATCTCCTTTATGTTATTAAAAAAAATCATAACTAACCAGTTTAAGAAAAATTTGTATAATCATAATTTACATTATAATTTAAGGCAAAACACGTTTATTTCATTGCCTTTTAGGGAACAGTGTTTCTTAAAGTGTGGTCAGGACCTGTGCATGAGAGTCACTTAGGATGCTCATCAGTATTCATATGACTTGCCCTATCCTAGAGGAAGGTGGGAAGGGAATGAAGGAATCTGCATGTTTTTTGAAAGTAGGATTTAGTGAGAGGACAGTAAAACTCCCAGAGCAGGAGGGGACTGAGAAGATTTGCTCAGGAATCTGCATTTTTAATACAGTTGCCAGCTGTGTTAAAAAGAAGTTTTAACTTCACATTGAATTTGAGTACCTCTGCTTTTAGAAAAATATTGTCTCAAATCTCTTCGCAACTGTGTTGCAAATGACAGCATCAAAACTTGATTGATATTATTGGACATTGTGCCTCAATTTTATACTATTAAATTTGTTTTAAGGAAATTAAAAAATAAGCGGCTTTTTTATTAAGAAAATTTCTTTAAAATTATGTAGCTTCCTAAGAAAAACCTAGAGATCTTTTTTCAAGTTTCTTTTTAAAATTTTTGGCATTATTGACTTTATGTCATACAGTAATCTATTGTAAGTGTATTGATTGACACGCCCCCTTTTACTCAGATGAATTGCTTATCAGCCTCCATTCATAAAATAGTAATATTTGTTAAGTTTTAGAAAGTTAAAAACCAAGGGCTAGAAATGGTAAAATTTCCCCCTTCCCATTGTTTTTAAGGATGGTATAACACGACTTAAGCCATTTATGGTTTTATTTACTGCCGTGTTTGTGCTTTGGTGACATATTGCAAGTAGTTCTTGTGGCTTTTGGGGGGGAAATCATGACTTTTCAGCCTCTTGCTCTCTGCTGCTTGGTAGTGTTGAGCCACTTTTGCACAGATTATGGGGCTGAGGACAATGTAGTCATCATTGCAATAGAGAACCAATGGTTATTGTCTGTGGTGCAGGATGGTGGTGACCACATTCCATGAGTAAAAAACAAGGAACACAGTCTAACGAGTAAGTGACAATAAGTAAATAAGACTGTTTAAAATGGATCCTGATGGGAAAAAAGGGTACTCTATGGAGCCTATATGTTCTAAGGATAATCTAAAGTTGTTACTCAGGCTGGAGAGCCTCTCCTAACATCTTTCAATTTCAATTTAGCAGTGATGGGGATGGGAAAATCTTCTTTATTATAGTCAATGGTGAGTCATTTTTAGGTAATCACTTCCACTAGTAACAGTTGTGACTTGGTCTTTAATCCCTTAGGTTGAGTTAGAGGTCTTTTTTCAATTTTGGCTATGATGTGAAAATAATTTGCATTTGAAATGAAAATAACTAAACATGTTTGATCAAATGAAGATTATTAATTCATAAAAACCTTGGTCAGCTGTCTAATATGGACTTTAAATAACTTTGGCAAATACATCTCTAAGTTTACACTTGCATGAAACGGAGAATGAATTGGCTATTTCAAGGAGCCACTTATTAATGTATTAACATGACTGGCATCTAAAAGAATAGATTGCTGTGCTTCCCACAGAATTACTGTAAACATTAAATGAGACAAAAAGTCTTTCTTGGATGAAGGGAGGTATTTAGGAGCAGGGTACAGAGGAGCTCTCTTTCTTGCCCTGCCCCATTTATTTTATCCTTTACAGATTATTTCCACACCAATATATTGAGCTGCTCTGTTCTAGGCATTGTGTTAACAATGGGAATGCAGAAAAGGTTAAGATTTAATTCACAATATTATTAACAGAATTATTGAGATAGAATAAACATTCCACACTACCCATTTAATGTATATAATTCAATGGTCTTTAACATGTTCACAGGTTTCACAATATTTAATTTAGCTCAGTACTCATGGACATTTTTACTTCACAATTCCTCAGGTCCAGGAGAAAAAAGAAACCTCACTGGACCCATTCCTAGCTCTGTTTCTTCCTTTAGAATAATCACTACCGTTTATCAAACACTACGTCCGTACTGTGATCTCAGTACTGTGCTAGCTGCTTTACAAATATTATCTCCTTACTACTCTCAATAACCCTGAACATAAGTTTTATCCCACCTTATATACAATGGCAATACCACCTACATACCTGGCATTTATTGAGTATGATTATTATCTCATTTCATAAATGCGTAAACTCATTGCTCTAGATTCCATTTTTCTTTTTTTCCCCTATCCCACTAGTTACTATGTTTTGCTTTATGCTTCTCCTCTAGTTCTTGAGGCTTGCTGGGCTTCTTTGTAAAGGAGAGAGATAGGGGAGCAATTAGGATTTTCAAGTTTCTGATGATAATCACAAAGCCTAGATGATCTACCTTACACATCTTTTTTAAATAAAGAGAGTGAATACTCTTGTGCAAACAGACAAGGTGAATGCAAGACTGCTAAAGGACTATGACCAAATAATAGTTACTTCGAACTCAGCTCTGATTTAGAGAGATATAAAAATATTTTCTTTCTATAAACTTTTAGATGTTTGTTATTTTCAACCTAAGACTTGCTTTCCCTCCTCAACTGATGGATCTAACCCTCTTACTAGTTCTTCTATACTAGCTAACTTCTCCATACTGTGAGGTAATTCCTGTACAAATACTTCTATGATAAACTTGTACTTTTGTAAAAAAAAACAACAAAGGGCTTTTAATATCACATGAAAAATGTGTTACTATGTGCTGAAATATCAGTGGTAAAGATAAGTAATAGAAAGAGTCTTCCTAACTTTGGATAGATATATGGGGAGGGGGGGTAGCAAAAAAAACCCAGGAATTTATTTATAAAAATTGTGTATTTATTCTTGCACTTTTAAACTTCAGTCACCTTCAAAGTACTCTCCATTTGATGCAATACACTTATGAGATGCTTTTTCCATTGCTCAGAACACTTTTGAACTCATCAATTTTTATGCCTTTTAGTGTTTCTGCCATTTTTTGTTTCACCACTTCCACATTGGCGAAGCATTTCTCTTTGAGGACTTGGATGAATAAGGAGGGTAACATATGGTGGTCATGCTAGTTTGGATCAAAAACTGCTGGACACCCAGTGTAGTGTGGACAGGTTGTTCATGTGAATCAACCATCATGAAATGTGCAAATATGTTGAAAGAATCTCCAAAAAAAATTCACTGAAACTGAACACAGTCTCTCACAATGCTAGCTGGTACACTGATGCCAATTAACACCCACCTAGTGGAGGAAGCCTGTACTACAAGGGGCCCAGCATCATTTTTTGGGTAGTCACCCTCATAAGAAAAGACACAACTATTTTCCCAAACTCCAACACACTGTGTTCAAATTGGCTAACTTTCTTGCACTGATTTAGATAGTTCATATATTTTCTGGTGAACAACGAATGTTGGATACAAAAGAAGACTTTTCTGCTGGCTGTAAATTAAAGGATAATGTTTTTGCAATGTACATAATTTCTGGCTGTGAGAAGAATGTTGCTAATAAAAGTTCTCAATTAAAGGAAAAATTGTATCCGTTCTAATAATTATTCATTGAATCTGAACTATTTTAAATGGAAGGTGTAGATGAATAAGAAGTTAAAGTGTTTATTTTTGAACCACTTAGACTGCTTTATAATTTAAGAAGCTAAACAGTTTTAACCTGCAATTTCAGTTTAGTTCCTTTGATAATTGCATCTTTAATGTTTAGTATTGTTTAATCAAAATTATATTTTTTACTTGCCCTACTAAGATACTATATTCACTTTTAGTTAATATATTTTATTTGTCCTACTAAATATTATATACTGTTCTTCTGATTTTGGTGTTTTTCTCCAATGATATGCAAAGAAGCTTATATTCTAATGGTTTTATTTTATTTTATTTTTCTAGGAATCAGAGAATAATAAGTTATGTTCCCTATATTCCTTCCGAAATACCTCTACCTCACCACATAAGCCTGACGAAGGGAGTCGGGACCGCGAGATCATGACCAGTGTTACTTTTGGAACCCCAGAACGCCGAAAAGGGAGCCTTGCCGATGTGGTGGACACACTGAAACAGAAGAAGCTTGAGGAAATGACTCGGACTGAACAAGAGGGTATGTGTGGACTTAACTGCTGGGCTTTTTTCCTTCTAAAAATTCCAGGTCTTAAAAAAAAAAAATGAGTGGGACTTCAAGGGCAGAGAAGTGCATAATTGGCACTAGCTAGGAAAAAGTTACTCAGAAGTTACCATGGTGATGGCAGATTGTGATCCATTAGGAGTGTTAAGCAGACAGCTCCGTTTTTCTAAAACTTTGTGCATTTTATTTGGTTCTTATGATAACAAATCAAGGTTTTAAACTGACTGTACACCTCACCCTGGAAAAAAGTAGTAAGGGAATTTTCCTAACTGAAACTTTATTTTTCATTTATTCTCCTTTTGGTGCATAGTGGTTCTTTGTGAAAATATCAACTATTTACAAAGCAAAATTTAAAAAATTCCTATTCATTTTTATAAATACTGTGAATTTATAAACATATTATTTTACCTCTAAATGTCGCAGGATGGGGAGTTGAAGGCTTTGAATAGTGTTAAAGTTAAATGTTCAAGGGTGAGTTCTTTGACATGTGACATCTTCTGCGACATCTCACACTTACCCTCTCTACTCTGCCCAAGAGTAAGATTCATCTAGGCCCTAGAAAACAGAAATGAAGGAAGTCTCTCCAGTGTCATTTTTAAACAAACTAAAAAAAAGCCTAAGTGATTGTTTTACTATGCTTGCTCTTTCCCTTTTATGTACAGGTTTTAGGCCTTAAAGGTAGGATAATTAATTGCTCTGAATTTTTTGCTGCACTCTAAGTTAAATTCAGACCTCTGTGACACTACAGGACAATTGGGATTTGATATAAGGTACTTTTTCATGTAACTTAATTTTATTCCTTTAGGAGTGTGAAAGTTTCCAATTAAATTTTGTAGAAGTCTCTCTAAGATATATTGCATACTTCCCTGTTTTGCCAACCAGGTTATATGGCACAAAACATAAATATTTTTTGATTACTCAGGGTCATAATATGGTAGACTAGGAACTTCAATACCCATCTAACAGTTATGTGACCCTGGGTAAGTGCTACAATCTGAGTCACAAAATTTGAAATTTGGCATGGTACTAATACTTGACATGGCAAATCAAACATTTTGAAGATTAACTGTAATAATGAATGTCAAAATATTTTATTAACTGTAAACTATATAAAGTTGAGATGTTGTGATGATTATATTATAATGTATATATACTTGATATGTAAATGTCCATTATTTTGTATTTGATGCTGTAATGATGCCCCTAGAGATCATTGAGATAATTAGGACCATTTAACTTTCTGGTTATTTCTTTGTAATTATGAAGCTTTAGAGTTCTTGTGTCTGCTTGGAATATATATACATATATATGTATATATTGTATTTATATATGGATTTCTTTTGTAGGTATAGCAATAAATACATATATATTTGTATATATGTATTTTGTAGGAGGTGCGTGTGTGTTGTTTCTCCTTCAATATCAGGTCGCAATTGCTTTCTTAGTTGTAAGTGATTAATTTATTTATTTGCTCCTTTCTTTTACCTGTAGATTATAAAATTAGATGATCAGGTCATTCTAGCATATGTTTAAAATATGAACAAGTATGTTCTAGATAGTTGATGAGAGATTCTGGGTAATAAATATGATATTTAGCACATGAACTTTATGCTGACTCTTTTGACTTTTCAGAGACTTTGTTAACCTCATTCTTGCCTATGTTCTGAATAACAGAAATTGACAGAGCATAGTCCCTGAATAAATGAGATTATTAGATTACTTCTATTATGCTTTGCCAAAATGATGGTTTTAGTTCTATAAGTAAGTGGTTTTCAAAATACTTTAGAGGCCTCTTTAATGTAAGAATAAAGATATTGATTTGTGATGATTTTTTCCCCTGTACTTCTAGGGAATTTTAAATCATTTTTTCTTATAAGGAATGATTAATTTTTTATTCTTCCTTTTTGTTACCATGCATTATAGTTGATTTTGTGCAAGAGAGACACTTGCAAGATGAGATTGCTCATTTAAGAGCCCTTTATCATTATATTTCTACTTGCAAAAAATTTTCTTCATACAAACTTCACAAATCTTTGATTTTTTTGCAGTATATATATGTTTTAGACATCAGAAATTCAGGCATCTTTAGTGTAGATAAATGTACATAATATAAATATATTGAGTGCAAATATGAAGTAATAGAAAGCATGCCCATCAAGTTCACCAATCTCACAAATCCGGGAGGAACAGTGAATATAACGTATGAGAGAAATATAACTCAAAATGTTTTTACAAACTGGAAATACGAACTAAAACCAACCTATCAAGATCAAACTTAATAGATCTTATCAAGTTCAGACGTTGTGACCAAAAACCCCAGCTGTACAAGTAATTACTGAAGGAAATTCAATTAGCATCCAGATGAATGATTAACAACAACAAAAAACTTCGTGAATTAGGTGACAGAAAGTACAATTGGGTTAGCCTAGTGACTATTGCCAAGAAATTACCAGTGTTATCTCAGTTAGCATTACTAGAAGTTCAATATGCAGCACTCAAGAGATAGTAGTCCCACTGAACTCCCTGCTCAGTAGAATGTATTTGAAGTATTGTGTTGAGTTGAGAATTACCACACTTTACGAGAGATTCAAAAGTATTGGGATATTCTCAGAGAACAATTGGCATGATCACAGGATGAAATTATATAATACGAGGAAGGGTTGAAGGAACTAGTAATATTGACCCCAGAGAAAAGATCAAAGGTGACATAATGGTGTCTTTAAAGATTAAAGTCACCTGGAGGAGGGATTGGGTTTATACTACTTAGCTTCCTGGGGATGGAATGCAGATTAGTGAAATTATAAGGAACCAGATTATGGTTGATAAGACTAACTATCTAACTGTTGTAGCTGTCTTTTTGAAATAATCTTCTTTGGAAGATAATAAATTATCTATCCTTATCCAATGCAACAATCTCAATTGCCATTTTAATAGGGCTATTGTAGAGGACAGAGGTCTTTTGCCTATACCAAGACTATGAATTTTTATGAACAATATTCTGTAGTTCATGGTATATATTTTGATGACTGTCATCAAGACGTACATAGTATTGTGATAATTTTTCTATACATTTATTTCTGTACAAGACACTATTAAAATTCAGAGATTCTTAACTTACTTTTTTCCCCTGTGAAGCCCTTTGATAGTCTAGTGAAGCCTGAAGATTTTAAATGCATTAAATAAAATACACAGAATTACAGAAAAACAAATTATATTAAAACATTAAATAATTTTTAAAATGTGTGATATAGTGGAATATGCTATTTTACTAATGCATTAAGAACAAAATCTAATGGAGAGCCTAACAATATCGTAATTTTGATGGAGTGATAAGCATACAAGATATCTGAGATATCTCCAACAAGAATAATGTGATATAAAGACATGAATTGTGATACTATTTGTGACAATGTCATAGGTACTACAAATACTCTATGGTTTGTTGCTTGCATCCATAATTTAAGGAAATGTAAATTTTCAGTTAGAAATTAGTGAAAAAGAATTTTTAATTCAAACTCACAGACACCCACTCATAGAATTCTGTCTATGTTTTTGGGGGTCTGTGGACCCCAGCTTAAGAACCCCATGCTAATTGTTATGATCTACTCATAATGAATAAAACAACAGTCCTAACTTAAAAAATTATATTCTAGTAAGATAAACAAGATATTTGTAATATGAACTCTAATTCAGCTGTCTAATATGTAAGTTCTATGAGAGTATATGGATGAAATGTTACAGAAATTTACAACAAAGAGAAATTGCTTCTGCCTAGGAAGCTATGGAAATGTTCTATAGGGAAATGGGTCTTAGCTGGTCTTGGAGAACGAAAGGATTTATATAGACAGAAATTGAGGGGAGAGACATTTTAGGTAGGAGGAACAGAGAACTTTAAAACAGCCAACAGTTCATGTTCTACCTTAAAGTGAAAATGCATATGGGATATAAGACTAAGAAAGTAGGCTGTGTTCATATCATGGTGGTCCTTTAATTCTTGCCTAAGGAGTTTGGACTTGAAGGTGATGGAGGAACCACTGACTTTTTTTTTTTTTTTTAAGCACACTAAATTGATGGATTAGAACTTTCCTTCAGGAAAGTTAATCTGGCAGTGCTGTTTAGGATGGATGGGAGCAGGGAGAGGAGACATTAAGGAAATTGTTCCAGGCTAGAGATAATGAGGGCCTGAACTAAGGCAGCAGAAGTGAGGAAGGAAGGGGGATGCATATGGAAAAGATATTAGGAGATAGAATTGTTAAGACTTGATGTTTAAGTGTAGTGACCAAGAGAGAGGAAAGAGAGAGGAATGGTTCAAAGAGAGCTCAGGAGCTCAGTGTTTTTAAACTCTGGGTAAATAGGAAGGTAGTAATACAATTAATAATATTAAGAACAAAAAAGAAGGGAAGGAACGTGTTTTGGAGGTGAGAGCAATGAGAATTTTTATTTTGTATTCTGAGTTTGATACCTTGAATTTGAATCCTTATTTTAATTATCTGCATGGAGTAATAGCACAGAATAACATAATGGGAGAACAGAAATAATTCTAGAAAAGGTCATTAAAAGTTTCAGGATGGATTTCTGATCCTAAAATAAATTATATTCTAGGTGTGAGGAGGTATAACATCCCCACCAATATTAATCTGGCTTTGATCCTTTAAAGTTCCAGGTCCATGTTCTTCTTTGGGACATATTATCTTATGGGATGCATAAGGGTTTTCAAACACATTACTCACTTTTCCCTCACATCCGCTTCTTCATGATTAGCTGATTGACAAGCCTGTTGATTGATGTAAAAATGATGGCCTTTCTTGAGTCATTCTTGTTCTGGAGAATGCTTTCACTCCTTTATCAAATTAAATACCTTTCCTCTCATTTGCCCTCATATCCAAGAATTCATCTATAAAAAGTTTATTATAGTTCTTTTTAAAATGACATTTGCATGATGAAAAACAACAACAAAACTCTCCAGGCAGATACTT